TTACCTTTCTTCTATTCTTCCACCTGCTGCTGGAGTGACTTTCCCAAACTGCAAATCTGATCACATTTACCAGCCTCAACATCAAATGGTGACCCTCCTCCCCCAGGCACCAGCCAAGCCTCAAGATAAACTCTAAACTCCACACTAGGGCCAGGAAGGTCCTGGCTCCTCACCATGGATGTGCCTCTGTCCTGCCCTGTCCCCTCCCCACCCCACCACAAGCTTCATCCCTCACCCCACGATCCTGGCTCCCACCTGTCCCTTGCTGGGTGCTGGCTCTCTGACACCCTCTGTCCTCATGCTTGCCTGTTACCTGTCTGTCTCCCAGCTATACTGCAAGCTCCGTGATGGCGTCTTTTGTCTCTGAATCAATAGCACTAACATCGTGCCTGGCGCACAGTATGTGTTCAGTAATATTTACTAAGTGAATCACTTCACATCCCTAACACCAAATAGTCCGTGGCGGCTGCATTTGACCGCCTCCACATGTAGGCACATGTGCCTCTACTGGGAATGCCTGCCTGTGAGCCTCTGTTGACTCTAACGAACACCTCTGCTCCATCCATTAGGGGCTGTTCTTCTAGGATTGCTGTGGGTGTTGGGAGCTCTGTGTCCTTCCTCGGCTAATCATTTTGTGACTGCAGCAGCCTGCATTTTTCTGCTCTGTGTATACAGAGATGGGTTGGAAGTGGGGAGTGGATCTGTGAGTTCCGAGGTCTCTTGCAGAGAGGAGAGAGTTCCAAGCCCTTAGAAAATTTCTGTTGAAACTCATGTCTCCGCCATGGGCCAATGAGCGCGAGAAGGTGCTCCCTGGGAAGCTGTGGCTAGCAGCCCGGGCTGGCACGAGATGCGCTGGTCCAGGTGGGTAGGGCACTCAGGGTCACCTGCTTGGTAGGGAGAAGAAATAGGGCCTGGGCCAAGCCTGACTGGAAACTCGAGGGACAGCGGGACAGAACGAGACAGTCTTTTGTTCCCTCCCTGTAATGCAATGCACATTCCCCACTTAAAGGCAATTTCTGCACTTCAAAAGGATTCCAGCTGGCGAAATTTAAGGTGGAGAATAAGCCCCCAGTCAAGAAGCTTCTCAGGGGCCTTTCAGTTTTCCTTGGCTTGAGAACGGGATGCATTTTGAAATGTTTGCCTCTTCATGTTTGTCGGAGTGCCAGGGGAGAAACGCTTCCTCTTACTTCCACACCTCTCTCACTCAGCCATAGCTGGCACGGGAGCCAGCCACGTTTTCCTGCGCTACTTTGCCTCCCCGTGAACCTGCCTGACTTCCTCTTTCTCTCCCTGCTTCCTCACCCGCCTCCCAGCTCACATCCCACCCCTGGGGGGAGGAGAGTCCTGCTGCCCTGGGTCCACCAGGCTTAGCAGCTTTCCTTCCACAGAGGCTGAAAGGGCCAGAAGTTGGGATGACACAGCTCACAGTTCACAGCTCACACTCCAGGAGATGCTCTGCCAGCTGCTATTCATTCATTCATGCATGCATTCATTCATTCATGCCTGCATGCATGCATGCATTCACCTGTTCACTCTCTCACCAAAGTCACCCAGTCAGCCAGCATGGGATCTGAGATGCTGGTGAGGCCTGCAGATGACTCAAAGAAAAACCACACGTAGTCTTGCTGTCCTAGCTTACAAAGTGCTTGAAGCTTTGAGAGATAGAAATGAGCAATTACAGCACAAGACAGAGGGAAGTCAACACCCAGTTTAGAGGGTAGGCACATTTTAAAAACCCAGAGAAAGAAGAGATCAGCCAGGGATGATGCCTGGTGGTGCCCAGAGGGGCAGTCAGGGAAGGCTTACTAGAGGAGGAAGCATTGTGATGGAAGCAGGGTCCAAAGATGCCAAGGATGGGGAAGTGGCTGATGCCAGGGTATGAAGGTGGGAAGACCTCTGGTAGGCACAGGGCCACTGCTGCACTCTCTTTCTAGGACCTTAGCATTTTATGGGAGGTGGGGAGTCCTGGGCATGTCGACTGGCAGTCACTGCTTGGGTGGCATTGCTTCGGTCACCTTGGAAGCAACGCACCAGCACACAGCAGTCACCAACTCATGCCCTTTTCCATCAGGTGCTCAGGAAATACCTTCATGCTCTGTCCTAAGCACTCAGGCTCCCCGCAGCCCTTTCTTGAGGGACCCAGGTAGCACTTGCTCCTGCGGCCTCATCAGTCATGCCCTCTCCCTAAGTGAAGCTCCAACCATCACCTTCCCTAACAAGCACTGTCCTTTTTGCCCACCCCTGCCTGTGCCGGCACCCGCTGGTGTCTTCCTTAGAGCCCTTGCCAGTGGCCCACAGGTCAGGCCCATGAGCTCTGGAGTTGGGCAGACCTGGCTTTGACCCTGGCTCTGGCACTTTTCAGCTCTGCACTTGGCCAGATGACTCACTTCCATAGGACCTGCTCTTGTCATTCCTACCCAACAGCCTTTCACCCTTGTGGGATAAATTGCACCTGGACTCACATTTAGGGTAACCATCCTTCTCTGCTGTCAGTCCTCATGGATCAAGGGGAGCTGTGGAGGGTCACTGCTAGGTTCAGGGATAGGCACGAGACCAAAGTCAGACAAAGCCTGTGACTTCTAATAGCTGGAAATCCCTACTTCCATGGAGATTGACAAACTGGTCAAACACAAACCTAAGACTGTTGGGGTCATCTTTGTCACCACAAGGAAAGAGTTTTTTAAAAATAAAAATAGCATAGAAAAAAAAAAAAAAACAGTGAAGAGACAGATTCCTAGTGACACTGAGCACCTGGATCCAGCCACACCTGAAGTTATCCCTGGAGTTTACAGTTTTGTAAACCAATAAGTTCCCACACACACACTTTTTTGGCTTAAGCTGATTTGAATTTTTGTCACATGCCACTAACAGTCTTGACTAAAGAAATGTTTAACTGGCAGACTTAATGACAGAATTAAGTGAAATGCATGGATAGTACCCAGGAATAAGGTGGAACTCAATGACCACTTTTGGTAACTCTCGCTGAACCTGCCTTCTCATAGGTCTGTTACATTTCCATAAACTATAGTTTCATAGCAGTAGAATACTACGTTTTCCTTTTCCCCGCAGCTTTGATCAAATCTTCCTCTGTAAAATCTTCACCCTCCCTGGCTTTCTTGACCACAGCTCTGTGTCCCTCATAAATCTCTATGTTTCACATCCGTTTTCCCCTCACTCCATTCCTGGGCTGAGACAGGCTGGGTTTAACAGTGTGAGACTTCAGGATGTGGCAGGGGTGATGTCGTCTTTGTGTTATGTGCTGATAACCCAGGGCAATCAGGATCAACTAAACCAAATCAAACCGAAGACTTTCCCAACAGGCTTCAAATAAATCCCTGACCCGAAAGATACCAGGTGCTCAGAAAAGTCTACACTGCCATCTAGTGGATGTCTGCAACATCGTCAGCCCTTTGCTGAGAATCCCCTTGGGACCGCCCCTGGCCTGTGAAAGCATCTGACCTTCACTGTGTAAGGGACAAACCCCAAGACAAGGGAATGCATGGGGAAGCCGAGAGTCCCGTCCCACAGAGTGGCATGTACTCTCCTCTACGAGACTGGGTTCCTGCCCAGCCTCTGGGCCCCGCACCTCCCATCCCAGGAGTTAGAATCAGCAGCCTTCCTTTCTCTGCTCCTCTTGGCTGTCCACAGGTGTGACCAGGCCAAGGGTTTCCATGGAGGAGGGCTGACATTGTGTGCATGCATGCAAGTGTGTGTGTGTGTGTGTGTGCGCACACGTGTGCATGTGTGTGTTTTATTGCTCATCTTCCCGAAGGAAAGGATAATTTGTGATGTTTGCAAACAAGATAGCCATCAAAGCTTCAAGTGAAAAACGCTTCCAGAAAGAGAAGAGTCTGCCCCCGACACTGGAGTCCCCCACGTGCTGCCGCCCTCCAGAGCATGTGGTCCTGCTCGGCTGAGCTGCCTGCATCAGGCCTGACCAAGGCAGCACTGAGGGGAAGGAAGAACCCCTTGCGGCCCCTCCCTGCCACCCTGCACAGAAGGGACCAGAAGTCAGGCTTGCTTTGTGTGCTTGCTCACATCCCGGCCACGACCCTTCCATCTGCACGCATTTGTGACCTGGGTCCTGTCTAGGTTGACGCCAGCACCTCTCCTGCTAAAACACAGCAGAAAAGAGGACAGTCTTCCCCATCGACACTTTGGGGCTCCGTCTAGCCCAGGAGTCAAGAAATAAAGAGGCAGAGACCAGAAGACCAGATCAGCTCCCCCAAAACACACTCCAGCAGCCGAGAGCAGCAGCAGACCCATTTCCCACTTCCACGGTGCTTCCCCAGGCTTCCCAGACCCCTAAAGCAAGGAGAGCTTCCAGAGCCGGATAGTACTAATCACTGCCCAGCAAAAAAGTTATTTCCATTTCCTAAAATGCTTTGTTCCTCTTTTATACAACCTTGGGCCAAAGAAGAATGTGTCTCACACGACAGTAACAAAGTGTCAGGACGCACTGACCTCTGCCTGTGTCGGCGACTTGGGACGCACAAGCTTCCTTTATGTTAAACAGACAGGCCTGTCTAAGCTCTGTCCTGGTACCACCCAGCTTCTCTCCAGCCCAGAAGCCATCTGAAGGCCCAGATGCGCCGCACCTCGAGAAAGGACTCCCCATACCACCCCTTCTTCCACTTCCCAGCCAACTGCAAAGCACACACCAGCTGGTCTCCTCCAGGCTTGGGGGTTCAGGTCTCAGGGCCTCGAGGACTGCAGGAGCAGCCAAGGAGCTCCCAGAACAGGGGAGCAGGAAGAGGCCTGGGCAGAGTGGCCTCAGCCATCACCGAAGTTTCCAGTCTGCGGCCCTCCCACTGGCCCCCAGGCTCCTCCTCAAGTCCACTCTAAGGAAGGCATAACTTTATGACAACAGCCTTCTGCTGCCACCAGACCCAACCCAGAAGCCTCTGCACACAGCTTCAAGTCACGCGGAGGAGCAAGCCTGGAGGAACGTGAAGACCCTCAGCCCTCACCCTGCTCGAAGACGGCCCTGGCTCACTTACATCCACAGCCTGCGGGAACTTGACGATCGGCTCCGTCCAGGAGGTGATCTTCTGTCTGTAGTCGTTACAATCAGGAACTATCATGCAGCCAACGCTCCCCAACTCTGGGTAGAAAACTTCAAGGCCCCTACAAAGAGAGGAAGGTGGTTACCCCGTGTCAGGGTTTTAGGGGAGCCTGGGGTTCCCAAGGTTTCGGTCTATCACTATTGGGAATGTAAAGTGAAATGGGACTAAATCCTAAAGCTGCCCCTAACTAGTTGTGTGATCCAAGAGTTACTTGACCACCTTGTGCCTCAGTTTCCTCATCTGTAAATTGAGGACACTCATAATACCTCCCTCAGGGGTCAGTGTGAGGAGTAAAGTGGCAGCCAATGGTCAGAACAGAACCTGTTGTAAGTCATCAGAAAGTATAATATTAATTCTCATCAGTGTTTACTTTCCCAGAAGAATATATATCCTTAGGCAAACTTAGTGTCTTTAAAGTAGGATTGAGTTTATAAAAACAATACCTATATGTTGCTTTTCAGTAACATTCTTATTGCAGAAAGAAAGGCTTAGCAAGTCAGCCCACCTTCCTTCAAGGGCAGAGACCTTCTCTCTTCCCTAAACAATCAAGAGTTCCCCCTGCCTGAAATCCCACCGTTCGTGAGTAATTGACTTCTTTAGGTGAAGCGGTGACCACAGGCTAGGTTCTCTGTCAAAATGCAAACATCCCTCAGGGGGTAAAACACTGCCTCTCTGAGACTATCAGTATGAATGAACCAGTTCATCTATTTGCTCCCTGAGAAGGGCCCAAACAGCACCAGGGATCTGAGAATGTGGCTCCCTGGAAGTGAAGAAAATATGACGAAGAGCAAGGTGACACAGTCTACAGGGGAGGGCGGGCTGGGCCATGACCACGCCGGGCGGGCCTTTGGTGCATGCTTGTATTTGAAACTCAGAAACGTAGGTAAGGTTTTCAAAGGTATTTATAAAAACTGTTTTTACTTGCCCTTCTGTTATATTTATCTCCAGGACCCAAGGCCTCTGCAGGGTAAATGTGGGTTAAGACACCGCTGAGACAGAAGGGGTATGGGTAGGGAGTGGGGGCTGCAGGTCCTCAGCCTGTCCTAACAGGCTCGCATGGCTGAGCCGCTCCACAGCCCGCCCCTAGCCACCCATAGCTGTCCAGCGTCTTGCTGGGGGTGACGCCTAAGGGGACCCTGTGAGGATGTAATTTGGAGAACAGAGCTGGAGGGAGAGCTTCCTGAGCCTGGGAGCTGGGAGTAGGCCAAGCGAAGCTTCCTGGTGGGGAGCCCTGCATCCCCCCTCCCACCTTCCACCCTTTCAGCTGCTCCTGAAGTCCAGCCTTGGGCAAAAGGCCGCTGAGCCCCCAGCACCTGGCAGCCATAGACTAGGACACTTCTGTGGGCCAGGACCCCCAATCCCTGGACTCAGGGGCTCTGGTCTCAGATGGTGGAAGCAGGATGAGTCACGGGCTTGCTGAGCGAATTTGTTTCTTCCAACTCTTTGCACATTTACAGCAATTCTTGGTGGATGGTAAGGTTTTCGCAGCTCTTGGAGAAGTTTTAGGGAACCAGTTTTGCCTTCATTGCAGCATCATTTTTTTTTTTTTTTTTTTTTTGAGATGGAGTCTCGCTTTGTCACCTAGGCTGGAGTGCAGTGGCACAATCTTGGCTCACTACAACCTCTGCCTCCCAGGCTCAAGCGATTCTCCTGCCTCAGCTTACCGAGTAGCTGAGATTACAAGTGTGCAACCACCACGCCTGAGTAATTTTTGTATTTTTGGTAGAGACAGGGTTTCACCATGTTGGTCAGGCTGGTCTCAAACTCCTGACCTCATGATCCGCCCACCCATCTTAAGGACCATTTCATTTGTTTCTGCTGCAACTCCTTGCTGCTGCAGCTAGCCAGATGCAAGGCAGAGAGGGAACCCTCCAAGGGCAGAGAGACACACAGCCAACAGCACAGAATGGGAAAAGTGGGGGGCAGGGAGGAGGTAAACTGAGGGTAGAGGGTCACCCCCATGCCCACAACCCCTCTCCCCTTTTTCCCACAGAATTGCTACAAATAGCAAAATAATTAAATAAGCAAGATCAGTAAATCTCTATCTGGTGAGAGGGATGTAGGCCACAGAGAATACCCTGAAGGACAGGACCCATGCCAGGGAACCAGGGATTGGGTCCTGTCCCTGTCCCTCTCTTCACACCCATAGGGCATTGCCTGGACAGCGTTTGAAGACAGCATATTGCCCCAACCACGATGATGGGACAGGGCGTGTGCAGGCCTCTGCCCTGCTCAGCGGCTTTAGCAAAGGCTTGTAGAAGGACACAGAGGCGAATTTGTTTGATCTGCAGACGGCACAGTGCTGATGACCAAGAATTGTGACAATCAAATCGACTCATAAGACAACCTGGACAAAGCTGAGGTGAGCTGAATCAAAAATTAAAGTCAGTGAGAAACTATACTTTAAAATTTGCATTCAAGGCCAGGCGCAGTGGCTCATGCCTATAATCTCAGCTCTTTGGGAGGCTGGGGTGGGAGGCTCCAGCATCGCTGGAGCCCAGGAATTTGAGACCAGCCTGGGCAACATAGTGAGACCCTGTTTCTACCAAAAATTTAAAAAAGGTAACTGGGCATGGTGGTGCATGCCTGTAGTCCCAGCTACTGGGGAGGCTCAGGTGGAAGGATCACTTGAGCCCAGGAGGTAGAGGCTGCAGTGAGCCATGATCGCACCACCACACTCCAGCCTGGGTGACAGATCAAGACCCTATCTTAAAGATAAACAACTTGCATTCAAGATAAAAAACCTCAAAGGCGCCACTTTCCTCTGTGCCCTTGCTGCTTGTGGTTTACCTGACATGGAATTCATTCTAATTTCCATCCCGAGAGTTTGGGGATCTCCTGATCTCCCTGACAAGACTTGGAGGCACCCTAGAGAGTGGAATAAAAAGATCAGGGGCCTTGTCCCCGGCTTTGCCATGAACTAACACTACATAAAGGACTGGGGACAAAGGGCATGACTTTTACTGGGCCACCTAATAGATCAGGGACCTCACATACATATGACTTCATTTCATGTAGCTATACCTTGAAGCAGCTGTTACTACCATTCCTCCAGATGAGTAAGTGAGAAACTGGACATATTTGCAGCTGCTTTGTATTGGAGTAATCTGTTGTGTACAACAGAGAACTGGCACGGTGGGCGTGTCCGTACGTCCCTCCCTGTACCACACATCCTTCCTGGTGAGCTGTTTCGCTCCTCTCAGCTTCAGTTTGAGCTAGGTGGTCATGTGAGTCTCTCTGTCATGGTAAGAATTGGATCAGAAAGGCCAGGCATGGTGGCTCAAGCCTGTAATCCCAGCACTTTGGAAGGCTGAGGTAAGATGATCACTTGAGCCCAGGAGTTAAAGGCCAGCCTGGGCAATGTAGTGAGATCTTGTCTCTATAAAACATTTTTAAAAAATTAGCCAAGTGTGGTGGTATGCATCTGTAGTCCCAGGTATAGGAGGCTGCGGTGGGAGGACCGCTTGAGTCTGGGAGGTCAAGGTTGCAGACAGCTATAATCCTGCTACTGCATTCCAGCCTGGGTGACAGAGGGTGACAGAGTGAGACCCTGTCTCTAAAAACATGGCTTCTCAGCTGTGCCCGTATTATGAAGGGCTTAGAATTTCAGCTGCTACTTAGTGAATGCTATGGTCCGAGTGTTGGTATCGCCTCTACATGTACACGTTGGAATTTAATCCTCAATATGATGGTATTGAGAAGCGGGACCTGGAGGAGGTGATTACGTCACCCTCATAAAAGGCATTCTCATAAAAGGGCTGAAGGGAGCTGCCCTTCCCTTCCAGCATGTGAAGACCCAGCAGGAAGGCGTCATCTTTGAAAAGAGCAAGCTCGTAGCACAGCCTGAATCAGCCAGCACCTCAATCCTGGCGCATCGCAGCCTCCAGAGCCGTGAGCCTTGGTGTGTGTACTTGGTCACATCCTGGCCATGACCCTTCCACCTCCACACATTTGTGACCCAAGCTCTACCTAGGTTGACCTGCTAAAGCACAGCAGAAAAGAGGACAATCTCCACCATACATGTCTGTTGTTTAGAAATGACCTAGTCTAAGGTATTTTGTTACAGCAGCAGAACAGACTAAGACAGCGAGGATGACAAAAAGACACGGAATATGAGGCTGCCTTGAAGAGGGGGCCCCCCTGTGAAAGTGTGGGTCACCCCACTCATAGAAAGAGCAAGTCAGGCGTGGCAACTCATGCCTGTAATCCCAGCACTTTGGGAGGCTGAGGTGACAGCATTGCTTGAGCCCGAGAGTTTGAGACCAGCCTGAATAACACAGCGAGACCACAACTCTACAAAAAATAAGAAACTTAGCCAGGCGTGGTGGCATAGGCCTGTAGTCCCAGCTACTCAGGAGGCCGAGGCAGGAGGATTGCTTGAGCCCAGGTGTTCAAGGCTGCAGTGAGCCATGATCAGGCCACTGCACTCCAGCCTAAGTGACAGAGCAAGACTCTGTCTCTAAAAGAAATTTATTTAAAAAGAAGAGTAGCCAAGGCCCCTGAGAGGGATTGAAGGACTGGGCATGGCTGCCCAGGTTGAGGGGAGCTGGGGATTAAGGGGCAGGGGCATCTGGGGGATTGTTTGCCAAGGTCAGAGCCTGAGCTGAGTGGGGATCTTGAGGAGGTCTCAGCGCAGGAGGTCCTGCTGGGGTCCAATCTGTCTCCTTCAGGTCTCCTCCGGGGTCAGATCTGTCCTTGACGCATTTTCATTTCATCATCACTCATGATGATCTCTTCGGAACAAAAAATCTTCAGTGGTAATAAAGACAAAGCTCCTCTTTTGCAACGATGGCTTGAAATCAAAAGACATCTTCCTGGCGTGCAACCTTAGGGTCCTAAGTCTGTTTCTCAAATTGGGGGCCTGCTGGCGTATTCTGGGAGTCGTGAAAATGGCCCCCCTTGACTCGAGTCTGGGAGCCCTGGACCCAGGGTGAGGGTTGTCAGCAGAAGCAGACGGGGAAAGAGCATCAGTGTGGAGTCAGACAACGGGCTAGATCTTGGCTCTGCCACTTTTAAGCTATGTAAGCACCGTGGGCAGCTTCCTTAATCTCCGGGGACTCTTCATCTGCATCGTGGGGATGCTAACACAGACTTTGCAGGTTCATTACTGCCAGTGAAAGGAGTCAGAGAGTCCAAGCACCGGCAGAGAAATCTGGCATACAGAAGGTGCCCTGGGGCTCCCCACGTGTGGCCCCATGCATGGGTCACCAGGGCGCCAAGATGCAATCTTGGCAGGGCAGAGCCTAGAGCATCCAGGACCACAGGCTGGTCACCTCTAGTGACCCAAACATCCTCATTTCCCACAGTGTGGCAAACTCCAGGAACCGCAGAGGTCCTCCTCCAGGGGCCATTATTGCAGCCCGGGCCTGCTGTACCCTGGCCCAGCTGGCATCCCCAGCTTATGGGGGCACTGACCTTGCACTACTCAGAGTGGGAAGCCCGCCTGCCTCTCAGCTTACTCAGCAGAGCACCTAGAAAATTAGATCCCCCCTGTGAGAGGCAGCCATGTTTCTCTCCCTCCTCCCACATGAAAGTCACCCTGAACTGTTTAACAAGAATTTTTTTTTTTTTTTTTTTTTTTTTTTTTTTGCCAGAGTTTTTCTTGCTCTGTCGCCCAGGCTGGAGTGCAATGGGGTCTTGGCTCATTGCAACCTCTGCCTCCTGGGTTCAAGCGATTCTCCTGCCTCAGCTTCCCAAGTAGCTGGGATTACAGGTGCCCGCCACCATGCCCAGCTAATTTTTGTATTTTCAGTAGAGACGGGGTTTCACCATGTTGGCCAGGCTGTTCTCAAACTCCTGACCTCGAGATCTGCCAGCCTCAGCCTCCCAAAGTGCTGGGATTACAGATGTGAGCCACTACGCCCGGCCGTGTTTAACAAGATTTTTAAAAATGTACTGACGTGAGCAAAGTTTGTTATGTTTTCTTTTGTTTTGTTTTGAGGCAGGGTCTGGCTCTGTCGCCCAGGCTGGAGTGCAGTGGTCCAGTCATTGGCCTCCTGGGCTTAAGCAATCCTCCCACCTCAGCCTCTTGAGTAGCTGGGACTACAGGTATGCATCACCATGCTTGGCTAGTTTTTAAATTGCTTTGTAGAAATAGAGCCTATGTTGCCCAGGCTGGTCTCCAACTCCTGGGCTCAAGTGATCCTCCCGCCTTGGCCTCCCAAAGTGCTGGGATTACACACATGAGCCACTGCATCCAGCCAAAATGTTACTTTTTAAAAAGAATTCAGCTACATAACTTTAAGAGAAGACACATATTTATGGTTCTAAAAGTAATGTTTGTCAAAAATTTTTAAATTAAAATAAAAACAAATATTTTCACAAACAGTAATGTTTGTGAAAATTCAAAGGTACAGAAGAGAGTAAGTCTAAGTTCTTTTTCCTCCTCTCCCATCCTGCACATGGGCTCAGCGGATGGCCCCCTCCCCAGTCACTAAACTGGCAGGGAAGATTGGCATCAAAGTGGCCTGGGGAGGCCTCAGGATGACCCACCAGTCCAGACAAATGAAGGCTTGCTTCTGTAACCGGCACAGTTGGCGAGGAGACAGTGGATTGCCAGGCCCTCCAGCTTACCCTGAGTAGAAGCAGCTAGTGCCCTTGAATGGGAAGAAGCCAGCCTTGCCGCCCGACTCCATCCAGCACCATGATCCCTAAAGGGCCCCCTGCCCAAACACTCCTGGGTCCCATCATTGAAAAAAAACCTCTCACACAGAGAGGGTCTAATCATACACCTTTTCATTAAAATGCCTCTTTGTTGGGGTTCTAGGGGGTGATGCATTCAGGCTGTAGGGAGGAACAGTCTCTCCCTGGGTCCCAGCAGGGAAGTTGAGGCCAGCCCCCTGCCCCCGCAAAGATCCCCCCTGGTTTGGAGGGCCCAAGCAGAGCCGACCATCTACACAGCTCTCCCGGTCCTGGGAAAGGTGCGTTCTGGGAAGCAGGAAGGAGCCTGTTTCTAAGTCCCTTTCTCGTGCCATCCTCCATCAAGGTGGTCTCCAGACCTGACATCTGTTCTGTCTTCCCCAGAAAAGCGGGCTCAGGAGATGGTGCTCCTTGGTTCTGGAAACACCCCTCCCTGGGATCTACTCGCCCGGTAGCCTCTGTGTCTCCCGCCTCCAAGCCTGCCCTGACTTACTGGCACAGGACAGCGTCCTCGTCCGAGAGGGCCCTGTGGGCACACAAGTCATTCTTGTTCTCATCTCCAGTGAGCACCGCCACGAGACCCAGTAACAGTGCTGCTGTGGCCAGCCTCATTGTCCAACCCGTGGGCGCCTGGAACAGAAGGAGCGTTAGAGCGGCTGGATCCCCTGCTGGGGGGGTCCTGCCCACTACCTGTGCCCCCCACCCCAGGGGCCCACTTGGCAGGATAGAGACCTCTGGTTAAGCACAGGGCGAAGGGCAGGCAGCTGCCAGGGCTCCGCAGCGAATCCGATCCACCACCCGGACACGAGTACCTTCGGAGGACCTGGGCCTCCTCCAAGTTGGACTCAGTGTTCAGTCCTAGCCGAGGCCCCTCCCCTAGCAGGACACAGCTTTGTTGTCACTCTCGTCCTGGCTGCCAGGGCAGAGAGCAGGCTGCAAAGTAGAAGTGCTTATATAAGCAGCTTCTTAGTGCAGCTCCTCGTCCAGCCCTTGCTCCTGGCCCGGGGATGGTTAGCTGGCCAAAGGCCAGCCTGCTCCGTGGCTGTGAGGCAAGCCCTGGGAAGCTGGTGACCTCAGGCTCAGAGCTAGGGGTTGGGCTGGGCTGTGCCCCGCAGACCAGCTCTGCCTCTCCTCGCCCCCGTTCTTCCACCGCCTGTCTCCACAGCCTGCGAGCTGCCCCAAGGTGGAGGTGGTTGGACACAGTGACCTTGTGTAGGTAGGACTGCTGTCCCGGCTTGGGGCAGGGGCACCCAAGGCCAGCTCCGAAGGGCCAGCTGAGGACAGAAGGTTGCGCCCAGCTGCACCTTGCAGCTGTGCTGAACTCAGCACTCCCAGAATAACTGTCTCTGGAGAAGGAGGTCTCGGGAGCTGTGTGGGGCTCAGAAGGGGGTGGCCTTCCCCAGCACTGCACTGGGAGGAAGGGGAGCCAGAGACCATCGCCTGCCTTCCCTTGGGGAACAGCCCTGCCACCAGGTGCATATGGGACTCTGGATAGAGCGTGAGTGGGCAGGGGGAAGAACAAAGGCGGCTTCCCACAGCCTTTCCAATAGCTGTGCTCTCTGCTCTCTGTTCTCTCAGAGGCGGGGGTGGGAGGGACATGCCAGCAGCTCAGGACTCCTGGCTCCTGCTCTGAGCTCTCCCTGGATGCTGGGGAGGCCACTGCGTCTCCCTAGAACACCTCACTTTTCCTTTTCACAAACAAGTAAAATGATTCCTGTCACCGTGGTGCCTTGCTAAGGAACATGAGATCATCGCTGTAAAGTGCATGCAGCTAGATCTTTAGAGAAACTATTTTCAGCATAGTCGGCTTTCTGGCTCAATTCCTGCCTCCAGCATCCCAAAGTGGGGCAAAAAAGCCCCCACTTTGGGGATACACTTTAAACACATTTCTCAATCATCAGGCTCCCTGAAGTACAACCAGGGATCCCCCTGCCCCCAACCAGAAAACATATTCCCAAGATCTCCCGTACTGGACAGAGTCCGGTAGCAGCCTTCTCAAAAGATCATTTCGAGAATGAGATCAATCAGGTCAAGCATTCGGTAAGGTGCCTGACACAGAGTAAACGCTCAATAATTTATGAATAGCCTAAGTATTCTCCCACAGATCCATCCATCCATTCATTCCTTTGCAATCCACTTCACCCATAAGCATGATGTGCCTCCCACATGCCTGCCCCATGTTGGGCCCCAGGGTATGGGTTGAGCATGGCCTCAGTCTGCATGCAGCTCACAGGACAGCCAGAGCCAAGGAGATGCTGCCAGAATGGTCGTCCGAGACCAAGGGACTCTCATCTTCCAAATGGCATTCACTAGAGAAGCCTCAGCTTTCCTGGGTGTCAACTCTCTTAGCACAGTGATGGCGGCCTGGAGACAAGGAGAACCCACGGTGCAGGTTGCTGCTGTTGAGCCCACTTCCAGCCTTGGTTCTTCCTAAACCCACGTGCCAGGCGCTTTTATCTCCAAATCCTCAAGCCAATTCTTGGAACTAGACGCTATGATCACCCCATCTTATGGAGGAGGCGACGGCACAGTGACATTATCTTAAACCTGATGCTGCTCACCAGGAAGTGGCAGATCTGGGATTTGAACCAGGCTCTGGTTGAACCTGTTGAAACTGGGTTGACTCCATGCTTTTTGTTTCTTTGAGACAGGGTTTCACTCCCATCGCCCCGGCTGGAGTGCAATGGGGCAATGGAGGCTCCTGAAACCTCCGCCTTCTGGGCTTCAAGGGATTCTCCTGCCACAGCCTCCCAAGAAGCTGGGACTACAGGCGCACCATGGCTCTGGCTAAATTTTGTATTTTTTGTAGAGACAGGGGTCTTGCCATGTTGCCCAGGCTTGTCTCAAAGTCCTGGGCTCAAGTGATCCACCTACCTTGGCTTCCCAAAGTGCTAGGATTACAGGCTTGAGCTTCCACACCCAGCCCAGAGTCCACAGTCTTAACCACCTGGCTCCACTGCACCCTGTAGCTGCCCCATGGCCTCTCACTCAGTCCCTGCACATTTCCTTTGCTCTTAGGAGAAGGCTCCCAAAGTCCTCCACGTGGCCCACAATGCCCTGTGAGATCCGGCTTTTCCTGTCTCTCTAGCTGACTTCCTACTCCTCTCATATGTTACGTCTGGTGGGTTCCTCAAGTTCCTTTCTACCCCAGGACCGTGATAGGCACCGACCCACTTCCCATCTTCATTGAGGGGTAGCAGAAATGTCATTTCCTAAGAAACTTGCTCTGACCCCTAGGCTCCATCAGATTCCTGCTATAAACAATCAGAGCACCTTATTGCTTTCTTCATTATTCTTTATAGTTGTAATAAATTATTTTGTAGTTATTTGCTTAGTGATAGTATCTCCCTCATCCCCCAGCCTATAAGCTTCTGGGAGGCAGCACGGAGGCTGTCCAGCACTCTGAGCACCCTACATGGAGTATATAGAGGCTTAATAAAACTCTTGTTTCAGGGCATGGCACACGCCACTTCCATTTCTGATCGTCCTCATTTTCACCTAACAGCTCATGACTCTGTATACATAGCAGTAGGAAACAATCACTCAGGTTGGCCCTCAGCCCTGGATGCCTTTTGCTTATTTATCTAACCTTCTCTGGCTTGTTTTCGTACAGGGAGATCTGGCAGAATGCAGCAGTTCTTGGGATTTTTCAAACCTGATCTTTCTCTTGGGGATTTTCAGGACTTTGGTTCATACTTGAAACCTAAGATCTGGAAGTCATGTTCAAGCTTCGGGAGTGACAGTTCTCCCTCCCCATCCCCAGCTGGTTTTGCTTGATTCCCTCACTCCTGCAAAGTCCCATTGCTAGATTTCTTGGTGCCCACCCTTGACGTCCCCCTCTCTTCCTTCGGTTACCTGGGCTGGGACCACCTCCAGGCACCATCAAAAATCAAGCCAAACCTGTGGCTTCCTGAGACACATCGGTCCCTCCAGCTACTGGGATCTGCTGGGCCACTGCTGCTCAAATTCTCCATTCCCTTTTTATCCCTTCAGGCCTCCTGTGCCTGACACCCCCATCAGTGCCCAGACCGCACCTCCTTTCTCTACCCAGACACAGACTCTTGTTCTTTCTCTCCCTCCTAAACCTTTCCACACAGACCCTCTGGAATCTCTGAACTGTAGTAAACAAATTCCCTGGAACTCTTTCCATTCATTCCTAATAAAAAAGTTAACTGAGATATAATTGACGCCTCATACAATCCATCCTTTTAACATGTACAGTCCAGTGGGTTTTCGTGTGTTCACAAACTTGTGCAACCATCACCACTACCAAGTACAGAGCATTTCATCAACTCAAAAGAAGTCCTGTACTTATCAGCAGTAACACCCATTCCTCCCTCCCCCCAGCCCTTGACAACCCTAATCTATTTTCTATCTCTATGAATTTACCTATTTTGGACGCCTCTACCAACATTTTCCCCTTCTTCCTTTCCAGCCTCCCTTCCCATGGCCACTTTCTTGGACACTGTCATCACTACAAACTGCTCCATCCCTAAAATACCACTCCACCATACAGCCCTGCTCCCGCTCTACCCTCAGTGTCCTGTGCCTTCTACAGAGCCCAGGGTGGGGGCCTGGGAGGCATGGGGGGAAACACTGTACTAAGTGAAAGCAGCCAGTTGCAAAAGAAGACATATTGTATGATTCCATTTATATGAAATGTCCAGAATAGGCAAACATATAGTGTCAGAAAGTTGACTAGTGGTTGCTAAGGCTGAAGGCTGAAGGTGGAGGGGGGTAAGATGTGACTGAGAGGCAGGGGGATGACAGCTAAAGGGTATGAGGTTTCTTTCAAAGGTGATGAAAATGTTCTAAAATTGACTATGTGATGGTTGCACGTATCTACACATATACTAAAACCACTGAATTAGACACTTCAAAATTCATGAATTCTGAGATCTGTGAAACATATAGCAATAACGCTGTTTAAAAAAATCATCCTGGGGATGTCAGCAAAATGGATGACTAGGAGGCTCCAGGCTCTTGTTCCCTCATGGAAAGCTAAACATACACATACACTGTCCCCACTGCCCTCCCCCCCCCCACACATACAGAGAGAAAGAGAGAGAGAGAGAGAGAGAGAACATGAACGAGAACGAACTGGCTGAACGAACTTTATAGGAGCTCTGGAAAACAGCCAAAGTTTAGAGCAACCAAGTAAATGCCCAATCAAGGAAAGCCTCCTTAACTGCAGCCTGGGTGAGAGAGGGAGACCCTGTCTCCATTTTCCAAAGCCTCCTTCAAAATAATAGGAATTTTGCCAGGCACGGTGGCTCATGCCTAAAATCCCAGCACTTTGGGAGGCCCAGGTGGGCGGATCACCTGAGGTCAGGAGTTCAAGACCAGCCTGGCCAACATGGTGAAACCCCGTCTCTATTAAAAATACAAAAATTAGCCACGCATGGTGGTGAGCACCTATAATCTCAGCTGCTTGGGAGGCTAAGGCAGAAGGATTGCTTGAACCTAGGAGGCTGAGATTCCAGTGAGCCAAGATTGCACCACTGCACTCTAGCCTGCACGACAGAGCAAGACTCTATATCCAAAAAAAAAAGGTAGGGAATTTCATTTTCTTTCTACCTTGCCCCACCTCCAGTGCCAGCAGTACTGGTCTGGAGGAGATGGTAGCTCAAGCCCCAGTTCTCTCCCATCAAAGCAGAGCCAGACCCATCATGCACGATGCTCTAATGTGCCTGGGGTCTGTCTGCAGGACTACTCTCTGCTTTGCCTAAGTGAAAAGGGGCAGCATTGCTTATGAAAACAGCAGACAGACTACAGACCTTCAGACACCAAAGACAAAGACTGCAGATTGAAACATACAATAGACCATCTAAAGCCCCAAGAAGCTCAAGGAATATCAAATAAAATAAACTTGAAGAGACCTGTACTGAGACATATTAGAATCAAGCTGTTGAAAACCAAAGACAAGGAGAGAATTTTGAAAGCAGTAAGAGAGGAGTGACTCATCATGTACAGAGATCCTCAATAAACTCATCAGCCAATTTATCAGCAGAAGCTTTGAAGCCCAGGGGGCATTGGGATGATATAAAGTACTGAAAGAAGATAAGTTGTCAATTAAGAATTCTAAGTTCAGCAAAACTATTTTCCAAAATATTAATGAGAGAGAAATTAAGAAAACCCCAGATAAACATGGCTGGGCACAGTGGCTTATGCC